TTGGTAGGCTTATTTTTCGTTATAAGGGCCTTCCTTTGGTGAGTATAAAATAAATTTATTAATTCCAGTAGCGTCTCAGAGGGCTACCTACTTGATACTTATAGGTAAAATTATGGTACGGCACTGCTTTCTTGACAAATTAAAATTCTTTTTAAATTAAACGGTCAATAATTTAACTTTCCTCTTGAGCTTTACTCGTATCTAGCTTTGTTTTCAAGAAAAAAATCAAAATCTGTGCCTGGCCCTATTAAAACAAGAAAAAATTAATTACCAAATGATGAAGATTGTCGCTAAATAGGTCTACCTAAATTTTTATTTGTGTTATGAAATTTCATTCATTATTTATTCCAGTGGAATCTCAAAGTGTGATTTTATTTAATTAATAATTGTTAAAAAACCAATTTTTTTTTAAAACGAAGCAAGTTAGGACATATGATTATATGAAATTTTTTTCTTATTTTTGACCGGTAAATATGCCCTTAAAATCTTTGCACTCAATTTTGAATCACCCTGTATTAACTCTTCCTAACTGTTCCCAACTTTTCCCAACTATTTCTATTTGATATATTATTAGAATTATTTCTTTGAAATGATTGGGTAGGTACAGTCGGTGCAATCCACTGATCTGTATTATTTTACTGGATAGGATATAGGCTATATTTAACATACTAAAAAACCGTTCCACCAAGGAGACCGGAAGTGCAATAATGCTGGCCGATTTGGGCAAATTATGGTGGGTTCACAGAACTGAAATTTGGGATAATTTGACATACCTAACCTATAATATGATTAATTTTTTCTTCTTATTCTTCTTCTATTCCTTTTGCGGGCGATGTCCTTCGGGAAAATTCACCCATGATTTGATTTTTTGTGAAAGAAAATATAAAAATGGAAACGTGAAGCATATTGTGTCTTCAGGAATAAACGTTTATTTATTTCATACTCTTTTTACTATGTTTTCCACAATAAAAACATCTAATCGTAGCTTGTTGACACAATTAAATGACAAATGTGATGACAAATGGAAATAGAGGTTAAATAACATCCGGTCCACCATATTATTTGCCCAAATCGGCCAATTTTTCGGAACGATTTTTAGGGGACTATATCCTATCCAGTAAAATAATACATATCAGTGATGCAATCCAAATGTGAACGTTCTTTAGTTGTCATGTGATTTTTGGACTTAGATTTTCAGAAAAAGTAGAACCGAATGATTAATTGGGCATTCCAACGACCTGTCAAAATGCTGACAAGTGGGAACTGACAATTTAGATATGACAACACTGTGGGCCTGTTGTTATTGACAGGGTCAATGATACATACATAGTTATGTAGATTGCTCAAAGCGAGTCGTTTGCGAGTGGCCATATTGTCTCGCAAGTGCTCATTAATCAGAATCAGTTTAGCAAAAATGTATTTACAAACCAATTTTCAGCCTTTGAATATAGTAAAAAAAATAATTACCGACATTTTTACTTTGAGTTATAAGCTTATGTCTATTTTGAAAAACATGGATGATCAATCTATATAACTATCTATTTCATTGACCCTGTCAAATCACCAGGCCTACAGGGTTGCCATATCATAACCTGCCATAACCCACTGGTAGACATTTTGTTTGGAATTCAATTAAAATTTGATTTACAATATTAAGACATCCCTTTGAAAAGTCAACTGTATGTTAAAATTTCCTATGATTTTACTTGTTCAGCCTATAAAAAAATTTTTATACATGGTAAGTTAATTTGAAAATTCCACACCTGTAATTTTGAACCAATCAAAATACGTGTTTTTGACAGATCACCATGGCAACGGAGGTATTTTAGTGGACATTTTTTTCTCGTGGGGTACCCAACAGCGAATTATACTGGAAATTTTTTGACGTTTACAATAACAGACCATTTTTGACAGACTGGTTTTTATTTGTTCACATAATAGGTTTAGTTTTGATACATTTTAGTTACAATGCTAAGGTGTTTTCTATATTCTTCGGCCACTTCTTTTCTTCTTAATGGCGAAAATGCAGGACTTTGGATGCTTTGAATTATGTGTATATGTCTAATAAAATATATATAATATTTAGACACTAATTTATTCACCTTTTTCCCATTCAGCACTTTGAATTTTGCGTAGTTTAGGTGCAAATATTCGTGGACAAGTCGGAACAAATTTTCGTTTTTCAAGTTGGAGCCACAATCCTCTATTAATCCGAGTAAGTAAGTCATGGTGCAATGATTGATCATTACATCAGACAATTTCACGCATATTTTGCATAGCGTATGATTTTCAAATCGATTCATTTTTAAACAAATAGGTAATTTTGTTGGTTTTACTTGCTGTGCAATATTCTTTATCGCAACTATGGAGGGTAGAGAAAAGGAGGACAATCTTATATGGATCTTTATATTAAAAAGTGGCCACCAAAATGTATACAATTAAGATGGCGCTCGTGTAGCCAGGGAACAAAATCCAATGCTATATAGTCATATAGATTGCTCATTCATAATTAAATCAGACAGGAAGCAGTAAATTGAGACCTCCGTGCCATTTTAATATAAGAATTATTTATTGATTATATTATTATTTTTCAATAAAATTTGACTATTGTCGTGTATTGTCAAAATTTATCTACGATCACAGAACACTTACTCTTCTACGATCAGTCACTTTTCACGGTGTAGTTTTTAGTTTTTTATGGTTGAGCAATATTTATTACTATATACATCATTGGTGTCATTGTGTGATCTGAATTATCGACTGTCGACGTCCCCTGGGCACAGAAGCGCCATCTTAATTGTATACATTTTGAGGGACACTTTTTGTATACAGAGATTGTTCTCCTTTCCTCTACCCTCCATAATCGCAACAAAACGCGAGTTATTTAATGTTTTGAACTGTCAAAATACAATGATCACAGCCTCCTACGAGTGATGCTTGCTGACGCTGGTTATGAATTTCATACCATTTTAAAGCGCTCATAACGCATGTTAAAAAAAACGCAGAAAAACAATTTTCTACCACTTGTAGTTATTCAAAACTTACGTAAAATTAAAGAATATACTATTTTATATTTTCAAATGGTATTCCCATGCAACTACAATGAGTAGAAATAAGCAATTTGAAGGCCTAAATAATTGCAGCGAAACATTTTTTTACGTCGGGCCGCCACACAACTTCAAAACTGAAATTATATTCGAGGTTAGGGTCTCACTTAGTTACCATGACAACTCAACAATCAAGGCGACAACACCTTTTATGTTTCACTGGTGACTTGGAGAAAATAATTTGCATTGTTGAGAAACGAAAAATAAATTTTAAAAATATTTAATTTTCAACCATAATTCGGCGTGGAATTTTCTTACCGAATACCACGCGAGGTCAAATTAATATCAGGAAATTTTTTCTCGCTCATGAATATTTTTAGAAAATTTCCCTCTTCTGCGACTCGGGAAATTTTCAAAATATTCATGAGCTCGAAAAAATTTCCGGAAATAATTTGACCTCTAGTGGTATTACTAGTGAATCTACTCCTGATGACAGAGTCCAGTGTTATAAAATAAATTTTTATAATTGAGCAAGGCATATTAAAGATTATTTTACACAGGTAAGTAATTTTGAAGGAATTCATTTTTATAAAATAACAATCTTTGATAAAATAAATAAAAAAAATATAACTATTAAAATAACATTGGCGCACCGACAGAATATAAAAAAAATAAAACTATTAATACATATCATTAAAATATAATATAATATAATATAGATAGATGACATAGCTACCTATGATATAAATAAAATAAACTTTTTTATTTTTCATTTAAATCAAATGACATTTTCCGTTTTCAGTAAAAATTCATTTAATTTTTTGAATGTTTTAATTATTGTAAGTAAAAGCTGAAAATGGGAAAATGTTACTTGAAGTTGCTTTAAATTTCATAAATTTTGAAGCCCGCCATTTTTTAAACGACTTTACTTAGTAGTGTTCTACCGACTGTACCGAATTATAGTTTATCATATCGCGCTTAACGCGCTGCTGCCGAGGTCAAGTTAACTTGTTACTAACTATTTACAGGGAAAACGGCTACCCTGGGTAATTCAATATGTTCTGCCTGAGTTGTGGAAGTAGATGGTTGTTGGAGTACTAATGTGTTTTCATGGCCTTTATAGGGATGTTCTGATACCTATAAGGTATTGATACCTACTCATTTAAGTATTACTCAAATCATTTTTCGATACTACTTATATGAGTAACCCTAAAGTATCGATACTTACTCATATCGATACTTTGCAACTTTCGTCGTTCTTTAGTGATACAAACAACATACAAAACTTGTAGGCTACAATGGCTCTGTGTTATATATAAAATACCTACTTAATAAGCTTGCTCCCTCTTATTTTCAAGAGCATAGTCGAGATTACAGTTAATTTTTGATTTTTCACAATAATGATAATTAAATTATGAAAACGAAAAAATTGACTGTGATCTCGACTATACATTATGTTACGGCCATTTGTATTTTTATTAAACTCTTCAAGTAAAATTGGTTGCCTATAGTCCACGTTCATTACATTCAATTTTAAGGTACAACAATATAACACAAGAAGTAATACAAACATATTTATTACATATTTATTATTATATTAAACAAAAAACTCTGTTGCATCCAGATTGCCCAAAAATAGTAGTTGCTTCAGATATTTTGGGGACAATCTGTTTCTTGCTTGCGACATCGTTGCTCCGGCTTTGGAAAACAGGCACTCGTTTGGAACCGATGTTACAACGACAATTAAATATTGTAGGGCATATTTTTATAAACAAGGAAATACAAATTTCATTTCATCCCACTCCGCAAATGGGTTGCTCTTGAGGGATACCATCGGATACTTCATCACCGTGATGCCTTTTATTTCTTTTTGTGTCCATGTGCTAACTCCTTGTGATGTTTCCAAAAATCGTATTCTGCTGGTGTAGTAGAAGTAGAAGCGCTATCCCCTTTCTACTCACTTGAGCTGCTTTGTTGTCCTTTAATCATATTTTTCAGTTTTTGTATGGCTCTTCCGCAAGCAGCAGGGTCTTGGAAATGTAGGTTTTTAAACCTTGGGTCTAAAAGTGTAGCAATTGCTGCATGGTCATTTAATTCAATTGACCCATACCTTTTTCTCAGCTCTCGAATTAAACCGTCCTTACATTCTTTTAAAACAATTGAATTGGGTATAATACTATTCAGTTCAGTTGTCAAGCAATTAATCATTGGTATAATTTTGGAAATTGTTATATATTTTTGGCCAGACGCTTCTCTTGTTACGTATTGAAATGGCTTCAATATAGCTGTAAGCTCATTTAATGTTTCCATTTCTACAGCACTTGGCATATCTGGAGCTGATACAGTTTCAATAACAATTTCCGATACCACTCTTCTTAACTTTAGGAAACATAAAAAACGTCGAGTTCCATCTCGTTCTTACATCTGCAGTAAGTTTTAAAACTGATCCTTCCGAAACATTATTGCGCAACTTATCCGCCTGCACAATACTATGTTTAATCCAATTAACAATTTAAAGCCAGTTTTATAAACGACTTTTGGGTAAAAATTTGGGCGTGGCAACCCAAAAAATTTTTCGCCTCCGGTGGAGGGCCTCCAACAGGGCGCCTCCGGCGAGGTCTTCACATTTCTTAAAAATCTGGCACTACGATCTCGTATTATCACGAGCCGCCACTGGTACCATTAAGGCCTATCTTCGTCCAAAAATTGAGGGAAAGGTGCCCACAATTAGTACTACCCAATGTATAATTCTATTCGGATCTTGATTTTCTAGAACACTAAACTCGTAGCCTCCACGTTGTTCCAAAATTCCTCCATGTGAAGTAAAAATTGCAAACTTGACCCTCCTGCGCTTATTTTATGCAGCTAAAAGAGCGTTCGGGCAGCAGCGTAGTTTTTTTAAACCAGCTTGTTTAAAGTTGAACTGTTCTGAGATGTCCTGGGAGTAAAGTTTCTTCACATCCTTTCACAGCGGTTCCAAAAAGATTTCGATGCATACATTCTAAAGCATTGTTTACATTTTCATTAAAGACCTTTTCTAAACCTTGTCTCAAAGGTCTTCGCAATCTTTGTACCTCTTGCCAGCATTTTTTAACTTAGAAATGCAACTTGTGACATTTAATTCTGCAGTCACTTAAAAACCAATTTTATTCCAATTTTGCTATATCCCTCGACTTTTGAGCCTCAGTTAAATGCTATCAAATGTGATTGCGACGAACGACTATGATGCAAAGTCTACATATAGTCAACTATACATACACATTAATGAAAATAACAGAAAATGTGTTGGAATTAATGCGACGCGACGTCCAAATAATTTTTTCGATGTCTGCAAGCATCAAAAAATTTGTATAATTTTTTTCGACTCACAATTATTTGCTATTCCAAGCTTTATAGATTTGTTATTGTGTCAATTAAGTATACACTATGTAAAATACAATATCGGAATGTATCTACCAATTCGGATTGTAATTTTTCTCGCCCGTCAAACTGTCAGTTATTTTTCAGTTTTTATTGCAGCGAACAATGAGATGAGAATAATTATGAATGTTTAAATAATTACTTTTACGATTAGTATGGCAAATAAACTACGACTATTCGACGAGGTGAGTATTTTTCATTAGCATTCAATGGTCGCCACAAATTTTTTTGTAAAATGATTCCGGAGTAACAATGGGTTCTTCGTGAGTGTTAATAATTCAATACACTATAGTTATTTATTCGAAAGGGAATCACAATTACATGCTCATTTATCTTGTCTGCTAACTGAATTTTTCAGTATATAACTCGATGGTTTTACTAATACCTATTCATTCCTCTCTGTAAGAATACAGATGCTTCGAGGAGTGCAGAAATGAAATAAAATGAGAAGATTGATTGATTTACCTGGTAAGGAAGATCAATCAGAATTTACCTAGCTTGTCTTCCGAAAATAAGTATTACATGTAATATTTCTATCTAAATAGGTATAATGTTTAAAGAAAATAAATGGTATACATTTCTATTACCCATTTCGTATTTGTCAATAATAATATTTTCAGATCACTTGGGATATTGAGGGAGGGAGGGTTTGTAATCATTTTCGCAAGACAAACTTCCTCAGCAGGTAATTTAATCAATATTTTAAATATTGTTGGCTTGTCTTTCCTAATAATGACTACATGTAGATGTTTAAAGAAATACTGTGTGATTTTAAAAGGAACTTAGATCATCTAGGTACATTATACTCTTGGACAGTGGCGGTTCGTGATAATTTAAAAAGGGTGTTCACTTTTTCCAATAACTTTATTGTTTGTAAGTTCGGTTCAAAACTTTGAAGAAGTAGTTATTGTAATAATTGTTTTTAATACGTTGAAAACCATTTATAAACATTATTACATATAGTCAGCTGACTTTTCTACATATTTTGAGATTGTTTTTAAATATATATCAGGTTATGTAGAAAGCTTGACATTGATTTTTGTGTGAAAATATCAAACTTTATCTACCGCTTTTCAGTTTTTATTGTAATTTTAATCTATTTCACAATTAGTCACACATGTCAAATAAAATAATATATTTTTTAAATGAAGTAAGCTGGGGTAAATGTAATAATAGGGTAAATGTATTATTCAGTAATAACAGTTCTGTAGATGTGTTTGAGAGCGCGCCATGAGCATGTTTTGTTGTGAGGGAGTATGCTGCTTCTATTCTAGACCGACCACTCTTTGCTGCGACTTGTTAGTCTGTCGTTAAAAACGATCAAAGTCATAGTGATTTTTACACCGCAGTTTTCAGTTCAAGTTAATAAAAGCCATAGCCTATTTCTAGGACTGAGTAAATATTAGACAGGTAAGTTTGATCTTAGAATTACACTTTAATTTATGCATTTATGCGTAAAAATGTTTTTAGCAGCATTTTTGTTTTAGTAATGATTATTGTTGATGGTACAATTGCCCCTAAAAAAAATGTGATTCAAGGCTAATGTAACATGTTATATAGGGGCAATTGCAACAGCTCATGTTACATTTACCCCTAAAAAAAATAATAAATTGTAAAGGTTGCTGCTCCAATAGTATCTTCTTCGTTTTAGTCATGGTTAAGAACTATATTAAAAAGACCAACGGCCCCTACTTATAATGAAAATACCTTAAAAGAAGCCATTTTGGAAGTAAAGGCAGGACGTTTGACTGCTGGGAAAGCTGCAAAGGTATTTAATGTACCTTATTCAACAATATACACTAACTGTAAAGGTTCCTGCGGGCAAATAAAAAAAAGAAAAAGGGCGTCATACGATCTTTCACCTCAACTTGAACAGACGTTAGTCACCGGACTGAAAACACTAGAAAAATGGGTCTTTGGTTTGTCGAGGAAGAAGGTGCTACACGTTGTGGGACAATATATAAAATCAAATAATTTACCAACCCCCTCCAAAAATCAGTCACTAGAACAGGACTGGTTTATTGGATTTAAAAAACGATATGGCTTAAGCATAAAAAAGCCACAAAATATGGAGTACGCCAGGCAAAAAGCTGCAGATCCTTTTTCAATTTTTGAATATTTTGATCTTCTCGAATCAACATAAGACAACCTTCAAATTAGAGACAAGCCATCTAATATTTGGAATCTTCACGAATCCAGTCTGTGTATTGATCCTACCAAGACCCGTGTTGTGGGGGAAAATGGAAAATCTGCAACCAGAATTACTAGTGGTCCAGGGAGGGAAAACACAACAATTTTATTAATGGCGAATGCTGCAGGCGAAAAGGCTCCGCCACTAATTATCTATAAAGGACTACACATGTGGGATTAATAGGTGTGCTCCGCAAGGATCTGGTTATCCTGAAACTGTTTACGCGGCATCAAAAAAGGGCTGGATGGAGACAGATATATTTAAAAACTATTTTCAGCGTACTGTTTTACCAACTCTGGGTGAAAATGTCCTGCTATTATCATATATGATGAACATTCGACTCATATTAGCCCTGAGGTAATACAGTTAGCAATTCGAGAAAACATAACAATTCTTAAATTACCTCCGCACAGCAGCCATTTGCTTCAACCGTTAGACTTGTCAGTATTCAAGCCTTTTAAAGACAAATGGGATGAAAAACTAGTATCATGGCAACGCCAAAATATTGGACGTAAGCTACCAAAATCTCTATTTTCAAAGTTTTTAGGGGACACCTGGAGACTTCTGTCCCCAGAATGGTTTTATAAAAGGAGGAATATACCCATTTGACAAAATAGTCATACCAGATGAAAAATTTTGTCCAGAGGCATTACGTCGTTGGCACAAAATGAAAATAAATCACGGGACCAATTCTGATAAAATAGAAAACATCCAGAATATAGGATCTGTTAATGAAACAAGTAATTTAGCTTCAAATGCAGAACCACTGCCATCAAAGATGGAACAAAAAACTTTGAAACATTGCTATTGGAAATGATCAAGCAAAGCCCTCGACCAGAAAGTGTACGGCGCAAGATAGTAGGTACAGGCTCAGAAGTCTTAACGTTTCAAGATGTGTTAGAGCGTCTACAAAAAACTAAAGAGGGTAAACAACTCAAAAAAACAAAACACAGTTAATTTAATGTGCCGCAAGAAGGAAGATATTAGTAGCAATGATGAAGACGAAGAGGAAGAAATAGAATACAGAGAATCAGATAATGAAGGGGAGTTCCTACAGAATATAGTGCAAGAAAGGGAAATTCAGGACAGAGAAGAGAACGAATTAAATCAAGAAATAAAGGAAATGAAATGGGTTTTAGTAAAGTACACGTCAAAGAAGAACACGAAGCACTATGTTGGCCGTGTAACACGACGTGTGGAAGATGAATGGGAAGTAAAATTTTTAAAACGAATTTAAACTAAACGACAAGATACGAAAAGATTTGATTGACCTCTTGCTGACGATATTGACACGGTAAACGAAGCAGATATTGCATTGACTTTGCCAGAACCACTCGAAGATAGAGGAGGGTTACTGTATTTTAATATCTTGTTTGATGGATTTAATATTTAAAATGTTTCTTATAAACATCTTCTGTAACTTGAATATAGTAACCTTTTTGTTTTGACTTACAATTTAAACTACTTAGTTATTTCATGTCAAAATTTTAGTTAACACCTCAAGGTATATATGTTAATTTTATAAAAATTTCGGTGTTTTACTTGAGGTTTAGCTGCTAAAATGTTTAATAAATCAGCTTTTTTAGGTTGCATTTGGAAGGGTTGCTATTTTTTAAGGAAAAGGGTTTGTTGGAGGTTTTTCTGTCGTTTACGTAATAAATTTTAGATTTTTCTCTCTAATTTTGGGTTTTAATAAATGCCACTTCTTTACACGTAT